AGGAAGTTCAACTCTATAAATCATTTTAAAAAAATAATTTTATTGATAGTGTTATCCCTATAAATTAAGAATTTGATTGATAGTGTTAAATGTTTTTTTTATTTGAATTTGTATAATTGAAGTGATATATTTGTAACGTTTTATGAATTTTTCTACATTTTAAAACATGGGTCTTGCATGTATTGTTTCCTGTTATTTTCTAAAATAACCGTATCTTTGTATCGGATATACATCAAATCCGCACTACACATATCGCATGCATTATCTATTCCCACATAAAAAATAACAAATATAAACTGATTGTATACACGAGATATAGGTTGCACATTAGAAGTCACTAGAAGCCCTGATGGAGACGGGCATTGGACGTAGTTTTTATGAGGATTTGATGTGAATAGTATCTTTGAAGATTTTGACTTTAACCATTAGTGAATGATGTCGTGTTATTCATGTAGCTGACTCAACTAGTAGGATAAGGTTTGCTTTGTTTGTTTCTGAGAGAGCTATAGAAAATAATATGATTTTCCAGATTTAATTTATAGCCAAACATGGCCTCAATGTATCAGTTTTCTTTCCTATCAAAATTTCATTCATTACTTGAATATGTAGCAAAATTAAACATGGCCGATTCAAAACACATTATGTGTAGTGAGTTAGTTTGGAAATGGCAATTGCTTATCAGAAAAATAATAGTCCAGATTCCAGAAACAGGCAATACAAAAATTACGCCACTGTTCTGAATTTTTTATTTTAAATTTCAAAAACAGTGACAAGATAAACAGGAGGTAGAAACAAAAAAAAAAAGTGTAATGATTTCCATAAGGTTCATCACATACTTTTACACTTCGAAAGATCACTTCTAAAATTTTTCTGAAGAAAGAAAATAAGATATGTTCCTTATGTTTCAATAGTAAATTGAAATTCATATATTAGGTCTTTATTTCTTCATATTTTATACTTTCATAATCATAATTTCACAAGTCAGCCACACACCTTCATACATGATCTTTCCCTTTTTACTATAATGTAGAAGATGACATTACACCAAGTTATATCATCATGCTACTGCTGGTAAACAAACAGCATGGCTCCAACTTTTCCCTCGATTTTGTTTTCCTTTTTTATCAAGGTAAATTTTCCTTAAATAATTTTAGCAAAGCAACATCTTGTAGATTACTGATCCATACAAGACATTCTGAACTGCTAAAGGCTCTGATTTGGTCACTAGGATATCAGAGTTAAAAACAACAAAGCATAACCAAACAGAGAAATTCAAGCAGTAATGGTGCGTTTTATATTCTACTTAGTAGAAAATACACATTTCAATGAATATTTTCCATGTTGTCGCAAATATCGCATTGCTGTTACAGAGAAATGATACTGTAGTTAAGGAAAGAAACGAGTATGACTTACAGTTGACTCATGCCGGATGCGACGTGGATACATGAAAAGATTTTTAAAATCGTCCTGTTGCATAAAAGATGTATTGTTTAGATGAAGCAAGCACAACTACCAAAAGAGAAAAAGAAAATATTAGTGACAGGATAGAAACCAAAATCTTCTTAAACCTTATTATGAAAATGTACAAATTGCCCCTTTCTGTTTCAATTAAGAAACGTCATGCCCTCTTTGACAGAAATTTGTTAGTGTAAGAGTCAGTGTTCCATGACACTGAGAGTACAAAAGACAAAGTTGGCTCTTGCCCCAACCCTAATCCTAAATATGGGTACATACATCAAAAATTAAAATAATACATATTTTAGCACTTCCTTTTGGAACATATAAATTGTATACATCAAGCTTGGAACATATAAATTGAATCCTAGGTCCTTGGAGATTTAGTTAAAATGTTTGGGAGTTGCTCATTAGAACTCACAAACTCAATAATAAGGTTCTTGGACAGCAATTTCTCTCTGATGGTAGTAGATCAATATATGTTTTGTTCTTTCATGAAACACTAGATTGGAGACAATATGCAAAGTTATTCGATTATCATCATACAACTTCATTGGCTCATAACCACAAAATTGCAACTCTTGAAAGTTTGTCTAATCCACACAAGCTCACAAGTAGAAAGAGCCACGAATATATATTTAACTTATGCACTATTTCGAGCAACAACACTTTGTTTTTTACTCTTCCAAGAAATCATATTTTCTCCAATGAATACACAATATCCTGTAGTAGATCTCCTATCAATAGTACAATCAGCCCAATTTGCATCACAATATCTTAAATTTGAGTACTTCCTTTCTTCATACAACAACACTTGTCCTAGAACCCTTGTAAATATTTGAGAATTCAAATCAAGGCATTCCAATGCACAATGTTAGGATTTTGCATGAATTGCTTAATCACTAAATAATTTGTCTTACTATGTTTCAAACCAAAAAATTGCACAATGTGTCTAAATTTATCAAACCACACTCGGAATATAAATCTCTTCCTCGAAGTCACTATGAAGAAAGACATGTTTAATGTCAAGTTGCGAAAGTGGCCAATAACAAATAGTGGTCATAGTGAGGAAGAGCCAAGTAGTGGTAATCTTAACTACAGGAGAAAAAGTATCATAGTAGTCAAGACCATGAATCTGAGATAGCCCTTAGCTACTAAGCGAGCTTTGAAACAATCCACTTCACCATTAAGACCAAACTTAATTATGTAAACCCATTTACAACCCATAGTCTTCTTTCTAGGAGGAAGAGGAACAATTTCCCAAGTAGCATTGTGCTCAAGAGCTTACATCTCATCAAGCATGACTTGCCACCATCTAGGGTGATCAAGTGCCTTGTGAACATTATTAGGAATAAAAGTGGTGGACAAACAAAGAACAAAGGAATAAAGGAGACAAACGATGGTTTGGGAGTAGAGTGAGTTCTTTTCTAAGAGTAATAGACCAACTAATTAGAAGTGTCAATGAGGATGAAGAATTCTTGGTATGGGAATATAGTGGAGGAGAATTTGAATCATGAGGATCTTCAAGAGAAGATAAAGGAGTAGGTTGGGCCCTATGTCGTGAGAAGAGATGGTGGATCAATGTTATCTGCAATTGGAGTTGGAAAAGGAATACGGATGACATGTGAATCACATGATGGTGGGTACAAAGAGAACTTGTTGAATAGGAATAGGACTTTCCATGAAAGAGATAAAGAAAAGTGTCTTCAAAGATGGTAACATCAGTAGACATATAATACCTTTTAATTGAAGGAAAATAACATTTATACCCTTTTTGGAATGAGAATATCCCAAGAAAAATACATTTTAATAGCCATTACACCGAGTTTATCAAGACCTAGAGAGACATTATGAATAAAACAAAAACATCCAAATACACATGGAGAAACATGGTATAAAGGATTATTTGGAAAAATAACAAAGTGAGGAACATTATTCTCAAAAAGAACAAGAGAGCATTCTATTAATTAGGAAACAAGTAGTGAGAACTAAATCTCCCCAATGATGAACAAGAACATTAGAGAATATACAATTTCAATGAGATGTCTATTATTTTTTTCTCTATACCATTTTGTTATGGGGTGTGAGGACATGTGGAATGATGTAAAACACTCTACAAAGATAAAAATGAGGCAAATACAATAGAAAAATATTCTTTAGTATTATCATTTAGAAATATTTTAGTTATATTCTCAAATTGATTCTTAATCTCATTAAAAAAAAGATATTAATATAGATTAAAGTTCAGATTTATTTTTCATTAAGTAAACCCAGTACATATGAAAAATTCATCAATGAAGGTTACAAAATATCAAAAACCAAAAGAGTTCACACGACTTAGCCCCAAGAGTATCAAAACCAATGTTGGAAAAAGAAAAATTACATTGAGTTTTAGAATGTTTAGGGAATGTAAACCTCACATATTTTCCTAATTGACAAAATTCACACTTTAAAATCCAAAGTTGTTTCAGATTAGGAACCATCATTTTAAACTTTGATAAACTTGCATGGCCAAAATGATCATGCAATAGTTTTGGGACTGGAGTAGCAAAACACAAAATAAAAGGGCCTGGATTCAGGTAATAAAGGCTTCATGATTCATGTCTTTCTCCAATCAGAGGACCCGTGTCATGTTCTTCTACAACATAAGAAATGGAATTAAAGGTTACAGAAAGTAAACGAGTCAATTGATTTAGAGAAATCAAGTTATAAGGACAATTAGGTATGAACAATATAAATTTAAATTTAGTAGAGATAAATAAACTTGGCTAATTCGTTGAGATGCCACTTTGGATCCATTAGTCATAGTAACCAAGTGAAGAATTTTAGGATAAGACGTGAAAGAAAAAGAAGAATTGTTACCAAAGATGGATTTTAGCCTTCCACAAATTGAGAAAAACATATTGTTGATACACTTGGCATTGAAAAAGATTGACCACATGATTGTTGGACTTCTCAAATGTGAACCTCAAATTTTTGGTACTATTCATCAAAAATATTGAAATCTAACTTTTCAAATTTAGACACATGAATAGCTATGTCAGGAAATCCATGCAAGGAACACATCAAAGATATGTTGAATATCATTTACAAAAATATCTTATGTTTTCTTCCAAAAAGAATACCATATCTTGAAGTATTTGATAATCTCTAATACCTTAGTAGACCAGACAAATAAATTTTTCAATTGAGTATAGCAGTTGTAATAATAGGAGTAGTCGAAAAGGAAGAAGAGTTTGTTAAAGACTATTAGAATAGATATTAAATATAGATAGGGTGGTCTAATGCTTTATGTTGTACCTATCTCTATACCTAGGTTCCTAGTGTAAGCTTTTAATTTTTTACCTTACCTCTATTCATTGTACCAGATTTGTATCATTATAAATATGAGATCATTAGATGGGTGTGATTTAGCCCGCTAAAATATATTTTCTCTTTTAAATTAATCTTAAAGTATCAGAGCGAGTTAATCCTACTCTACTGGTCTCAATCTTCTCCGGTGTAGTATTTATTGTCGCCACCATCGGCCATCATCACAACTTCCTTCAGTAACCACTAGATTTGGAGCACCTTCCCAAGTGATGACCAACCCTGTCGATCCCGACAAAGATTCTCCTCCACATGCCCAAACTCTCCTCATTATTGCTTTGCTCTTGACGTCCACGCACCACCCTCTCCTCACTAGAGAATCCCAAAGCCTCTTTGTCAAGGCTCACCGAACCTCCTCAACTCTAGTCAAGTCTCTAGGTCCTCCTTTCCAGCATGATTGAAGGCCCTTTCTAGGTTTTTCTAGTTAAACCTAAAGTTGTCTATTCACGGTCTTTATTAATTGGTCCCTTATCTCTATTGGTCCCCTCAGCCTCCAACTAAAATGTCCTCTGGACCCGTTATATCCTTCTTTGGAACTCTTTCCATTACCTCTGAAAAATATGAATGGGAAAAATTGTTTTTCTTGATCTACCTCGGTTAAACTATGGTTCCTTGGCCAATGTTTCTATGATCACCTTGAACAAGACAAGAATAATGTGTCATCTGATAAAGCTAAAAAGTGGAAGTAAACTGATTTTTAGCTCTATGCCTTACTGAGGCAATCAGTGAAACCAAAATTATTGGGTACTCTTAGATCGTTTAAAACTTGCGACTCTTTTTGAAAAAAGGCAAATCTAAGAATACAAGATAGAAAACCTTGAAATAGTTAAGGGAAGCATTGGACCTAACCCTTAAGGACCTCAAAATAGAGAAACAAGGGTAATAATGGAGCCAAAATGTGTCGACAGACAAACAGTAGAAACGTAGAGGGATTTCAGGCATGGGATGGCAGCGCACGAGGCTCACGCACTTGAGAATCAGCACAAGGGCGAATGCGGTGGCAAATGACATCGTAGTAACCCTTTCTTGACTAGTCAAAATGGGATCAGATGATAGTGGTTGACGATTGATAGTGGCAGTTGGTAGCCAAAGATGAACAATGACAAAAGAGACTATAGCAGGATCTTACTCATTCTAATACCAACTTGAGTGAAATATTATAATAATTGAATCCTAAACCAAAACTCAACATATAAAACAAATTGTTCAAATTCAAGAAGAAATTCAAATATCATGTTAAACCATATCATTTAAGAATGACAAATTCTAACTGAATTCAACAAAAACGAATCACAAGGATAAATATGCAGAAATTATAGTGTTTAAGAATCATAGAAAATGCTTATTAAGTTTCATGACCATGTACATGGCCCTAACTTGGAGGCAGTATAGTGGACATTTTCTTTCTTATGTCTTCATATATGGTGAAGGCAAAAGAAAATCACAATAAATAGCTTTTCTTGACTTGATAAATAAATATGTATCCCATGTCCTCTCATTTCAACAATTGTTATAAAACAATTAAGATGACATTACCATTGTAGATGTAAGAGGCTTCTTATTTGCCAAAACAGCACAACATCCCATATCAATAGCTTGCTTTAGCACCGCTACAGTGTCAGAGCTAGCAGAGCAATCTACAAACACCAAACCTATAACCAAAAACAATTTGGCAGCGCAGTGATTTAATGCACGAAGGTTCACATTTCGAATTTACTTTAAAATCAACATCAATTAGCAGGCAATGCAGGCCACTAAAAATTTAATATACCTGTTTTTCTACCAAGTTGAGATGCAATCTCTAGAATCTTTCCGTTTGACTCCGGATGCACAAATGCCCGGCATTCCCCTTAAAATATCATCCAACAAGAAAGCATTAAGAAAAATGCAAATTTTCCAATCACCATCAGGACCAGTTAGGCATAGACATCAACCAAAATCACGAAGTTTTGATAAAGATTCGCCAGAACTCTTGACCCGGCAAAGTTCTAACAAAAAGCTATCATCCAACCCCTTATGCAATAAATCATCTGACACCACCAAAGATTTACTATCACCAACTCCTACAACTCTCAAGCACAGTCCCTGCCACCAAAAACATAAACAAATAAAAGATTTGAAATATCAATCAACTAAAAAGTAACACTCATATTTATAAACCCATTTCACATAGCAGCCAAAAGCCCACGCAAGTAACCTAGAAAGAAAAAATGTTCAAAGGACAAATGGAGCATCAGAAACCAATATAAGTTTTCATTTTCAGATTGAAGACATGACATAAAAACAGGAAAATGATATAGAATATGAAAACATACGAATCCCTCTGAAGGGACTTTACCTGTGTGGAGTGAAGAGAACGATACGAGACAATGTGTTGGAGAAGTTGACGACCAACTCCTCCACAACCCATTAGAATCAGAGGAATATTCTTCATTTTTTTACTTTCAATTTTTTGTGTGATGGAAGAAGAGAAGTAGCAGCGTAACTACGGAGGCGACTGAAATGTTACCCTTGATTCCACTTCGGCAGCTTACAAATATTTAAATACGGACAGGTAGCATGTGATCAAATGGGACAAAAACGCTTAGTTAATCAAAGTGAAACTTTCACTGTTATAATCTTCTTTTTTAAGATTATTCAAATCTAACATGTTCCAAATTTATTTATGAGATAAATCCATCCACTGAAATTATGTCCCAGATCTGAATTTTATGTAGGACTTTTTTATGCATAATTTACATGTATAGATAAATTAAGTTCAAATTTTGCAAAATATAATTAAAAAATAAAAAATAAGATATAAATTTTAATATTATAATAAAATATTAATTTTATGAATATAATAAAATTTAAATGTTATAGTGTATGTATATTAATAAATAATTTAAAAATAAATAATAATAATAATAATATATATCGAATAAATATTAAATAATTCAAAATATCAATAAAAATTATTATTATTATTATTATTATTATTATTATTAATGGAAACATCCATGAACATCCAATAATTATTAAAAAAATTCCTCTAAGTTTATAAACTCAACACTTACTTCTCCTACCCAATAATTATTAAAATTATTCCTTGAGTTCTCGACACTTACTTCTCAAATCCATAATTGTTAAAATTCTTCCTCCAATTCTCGACCCTTACTTTTTTAAGGATGGTTACGAAATAGAAGAAAGAACTCTCAATGAAACTTGAAGACAAACAATTTCAAGATACAAGTATTTTATGAAAATTTTACATATGTGAAACTAAATTGGTCTCTAACAAGTGTTGGCCGAAAATATTCTCTCAAGGAATTTTAGTCTCACATTAAAAGCATAACATAATTTATTTATTTTTTATTTATTACATTTTTTAATTAGTTATATTTTGCATAATTTTAGCATAATATACATGCATGTATCCACGAGTGCATATTTCTTTTTCTTCTTAGTTAATTATAGTTGAATCCTAATTTGTCGAAGGAGGACCAAGTGTAACTTAGGTTAAGTGAACCAATATAAAAATTATGTATTTTTATCTATTATATTGCTTACTAGCATTTTATTTTTTGTGAAATATTTTTAAAAAGCTTTTATTAATATCATATGACACCATTATACTTTTAACCAAGTTCATTATCAAAGGATACTTGAATGAATGGGTGAACTTGTGATAAGAAAAAACCTTTGAAAAGAAACAAGTTTTAACTTTATTTAAACCTCTCCTTTATAGAATTAACCGTTAATTTTAATTACTATAAATAAAAATATGTTGTTTATGGTGTGATATATATATGTTGATAGAATAACATGATATGATATATTTACAAATTATATTAAAATATATTTTTATAATTAATTTGTCTTATTTTATTTATTTGTGTGATTTAAAAAGTATAAAGATCACATTTACTATACGAAATATTAAATGTTAGAAATAAAAGATGTTAAATGATAGGACAACTCATTCAAACAACATATGTATTTTAATAGTAAGTTAACATCTATGTATATTTATATATCTATTTATAGTTACATATTTTATTTTTATCTTATTTTACTATTTTTTTTCAAACATTTACATGCAAAAGTTATTTAACGAATTAAAAAATAAAAACATAATTAATAAAAAATAATATAATTTTAAACTAGTAATAGATAAATAGAACTAGAAAAGAAAAATTAATTAGATAAGTTTTAATTATACATTTAATAATTTGTCAAAAGGAATTATGATTAATATATATACTTATAAATAAAGGGATATACTGTGTACAATAAATTTATTTATTTTATAATAATTACCTTAAAATTTATGTCTTAAATTATTTTTCATTAATTAGTAAGATAACTTTTAAATTAATGATATATAAATTCTTTTTAGTAAAATATAATTTTACCTTAGGATTGATTAGTGGATTTGAGAACTAAAAAGGAAGATAAAAATAATATAAAGTGAACTTATTTGGATTAAAGAGAATAGAAATAAAGAGAAATAAAGATGAGTTTATAATTAAAATGATTTATTTAAAATAAAAATATTAATAAAATAATTTAATAAATATTATTTACTTTATAAAAAATATTGAAGTAATTTGTTTAAAAATAAATTAAGAATAAAAATTAAGAATTAAATAAAATAATATTTATTTTATAATATTATTACTAAAACAAAATTAATGATTTTTATATTAAAATAATTTTTTTATGTATTTAATTTTTTTATAATAATAAAATAATTTATTATATATTTATATTAATTTGTTCGTATTAATATGTTAATAGATTTCTAATACAATAATATTATGATATTTAATGATAATTATAAGTATGTTAGTACAAAATATGTCATCTATCTTTTTTGTTTTCTTTTTTATCAAGTGAGAGGAGAAAATTTCCAGGAAATCTATTGACTCAAATCAATAAATCCAAACTAATATCAACCCTTTAAATTATCAAAAACATTTCTTCCTACACAGTACATTAATCGCTCTCCCGTGTTTGTGTTTTATTAAGCTCTCTAGATTTTAAGATGGATTTTGAAGAATGAAAACGAGTAAACTTAAATGGAAAGATAAAAATAAGATTATTTAGATTAAAAGAAAGATTGTGACAAATGAAATGAATTTTTGTGAGTGATGTGATTGATTTAATAGATTAAAAAAATATTTTAATTAATAAAAGTGTAAGATTATAATTTTATTTTTGTGTTTAAAAAGTAACTTAGAATAAGATGTAGTTGATTAAATTATCTAAAATACAATGTGAGTTATTATTTAAAATATAAAAGTCTTAATTGATGTAATTATATTAAAATAAAATGGAATTTTTAGAAGTTAATTTCAAATAAATTATGGGTGATTACTTTAAATAAAATAAAATTATACTTTAAATAAAATAAAATTATTTTAAATTAAAATGTGATTGTTTAAAGTTAATTTAAATTAAAGTGGCAATTATTTGATGTATTATTTTGTTGAAAATAAATTACATGTAATTGTCTTTAATGAAAATTAATAAAATTAAATTAAACATGTAGTTAAATAATTGTAAAATGTGATTAATGAAAATTATAATTAAATACAAATTTGTGTAATTTGTTAACTATTTTGATCTATGTTATTAATGTCAGATAAAATATTAAAGAATGAATTTTCATAAAATAAATTACATACTAAATTATAAAAGTATAGAAAGAAAATTAGAAATAATTGAAAAATTAAAAGAAAAGAATATAAAATTAATGTAAGAATTTGATAGTCATACATCATATTAAACCTCGAACAATAAGTAAAATAATATTGAAAATACTTATAAAATGAAGTAAACAAAATAATGATAAAATTTATTCAAAATAATCCTAAAAGTCATCACATCGTTCTTAAAAAGGTTAACTCTTTTAGTGACATTATTAAAACCTCTATTTATATTTAGGTTCAAATTAGTTAAACTATCTTCCATCCATTGTATTTTTACTTTCATGTCTTGGATATCCCAAATTTTTGATAACATTTAACTATCATGGGACAACATCTGGCTGAACCGACTCATGATGGATAGGGCCTTGTGATCTAATATCGACTGCATCAGCATTGGTTACTGCAAGGTGATATAAAATAAAGTAAGGTGCAAAATTTTAAGAAGTAAGTTGCAGAATTTTAAACAATAAAGTAAGCAAACCCAAAGAAAATTCTCACTGGACATTAAGATAGTTGCCTATTTAGATATGAAGGTTCATTTTCAAGGATTATAGAGGGAGGAAGAGATGAAATGAAACTATAAAAGAATAAAGACAAGGGCTGGAAAAATGGACCAGCCCCTTGGATAAATCAATGAAGTGAAGAAATAAAAAAAAAAAAGAGGAAGAGAAGAGAAGTATGGTGGTGGTGGAGTGTTGGCACGCCACTAGGGGATGAACTATCCTAGATAAGTGGTGGTTGTCGTCACTTGAACCAAGGTTCAAGATAAGACACTCAAAGAGATGGAACACTCTAAGAAACCTCACAAACTTTTCATAAATGTTCAACCTCATTACATGAGGGGAAACCTTCTATTTATAGGCTCTTGGGGGAGGGACCTAGATGGAAATACAAAAAGGAGACATAAACTTAACCTAAACCTAAAGGCTAGAGTCCCCATGGTCCAAATATGTTAAATTCGTCCTAGCCAACCAAAAATACCTTTAAAGGTGTGGAGAACATAAAAAAAGAGGTGTGCTTCCTTTTGGGTTGTCCCAAGCCTACAAATCTCGCATCCTAAGCTTCTTCCCCTCCAAAAAGGGGTGTAGGACATGAAAAATGAGTGTCTTACACCTTTGGGTTGTCCATGCATGTATCCTACGGATCCAAGGCTTCTTTTCTACCAAAAAGATGTGGTATTCTTCAAAAAGGAGGTGCAAAAGGTGAGCCTACAAAAGGAAAGCGAAAATAAGTGAAAAACTTAGAAAAAGAAAATACTAAGTAAAAATACTAAGTAAATTCAAAATGGAAGGTGAAGAGGAGGTCTCCCTTCTAGTCACACTTCTAGTAATCCTTCTAGGTATGACCTCTCCTGCCTCTGGGGCAACTAGGAACTCATCATCCTCTCCTCCTTAAAGAGAATTCGCCCACGAATTTGTAAAACCTGCATCAAAAGGGGTAAGATCACCAACATTAAAAAAGTTAATAATGTTATATTCGACTGGTAGATCTAACTCATATGCATTGTTGTTTATTTTCCTAACTATTTGGAAAGGTCTGTCACCTCGGGGGTTGAGTTTGGACTTCCTTTGAATCGCGAACATGCAGGTTGGAAGATGACTTCCTTCCTTCCCTTATTGACATACTTGTTATACTGACCTACTTTCCTCTCTATGTTGGCTATAACTCGAACATGCAGGTCCTTAATGATCTTAGATTTTTCTAGACCATCTTGGCTAGTCCAAGCTTCATGGGTAGGTAGAGGAAGGAGGTCTAAAGGTGTTAAGGGATTAAACCCATAAATGACCTCAAAAGGAGAGTGGGAGGTGT